CTATTCCTTTCTCTTTATTTAAAAAAAAAATATAATAAATAATACAAATTCAAACCAACATAAAATTGCTACCCCTTGCCGAAAACATCGACAAGGGATAGAGGGGCTAATGATATAGGTTGGTAGAAGGAGACACCCCCAAGGACGAGCAAGGCAGATCACAACACACCGATGCAAGGCCATCGACCCTCATAGGGCGTTCTACCACTACACCCAGGGAGCGCTCTACCACTACATCTAGGGAGCGCTCTACCACAACCCCCAAAGATGTAGTGGTAGAGCGCTCCCTGGGTGTAGTGGTAGAGCGCTCCCTGAGGATCGATGGCCTTGCATCGGTGTGTTGTGATCTGCCTTGCTCGTCCTTGGGGGTGTCTCCTTCTACCAACCTATATCAGAGGGCAATCCGGTCTAATGGCATACCAAACCAACCCTGATAAACAAATAGAGGATGACCCTTGAGATGGACTATGTCAAAGTAACTCGGCAAGATGATCTTGTAACTTTGGAAAACCCTACTCTTTTACGTAACTACTAAAAAGTTTTATTCTAATGAGATGAGATCGACAACCGTTAAAGTTGTATATGGGACTATGGACTGTTTTTTCTGATCTTGGAAAGCACTTAAAAGTAAGATTTCTAAACGGATCCCAAAAATTATGATAAAAAATCGTTCATTTTTTTTCAAGTGAACCCACATGCAATAGGGCAACGTGCTACAGAATCCTAGGGACAGTACTTTTATCTTCTCACTTTGTTAAATTGTATTTACACTCAAAAGTTGATAGATATATGAGAAAATTACAGTAGCGATTCCTAATTTTTTTAGTTTTTGTAGATTTTAAGTTACCCTTCATTTTGAACTAGCAAAGGTTCGTAACCTTTCATAAATATGCACATGAAGTCCATCATATGTTTATTTTTATAATTACTTTGTCAAACCATTTCAAAGATAAAATATATGTTTATTTGTTTGTAGATATGAGGTAACTAGACCCTATTTGATTGTACCAAGTTTTCTATGGAAAATGGAAAATCAATTTCATTTTTCATCTTATTGGCTGTTTGATAGTTTTTTATTTTTATTTTTTTTGTTCAAGGAATTTGCTTTCTTATTTTTCTTGAGAACTAGCAATTTTCCATGCTTTCATGGAATTCGAATACTCACCACATTGGTGAGAATTCGAATTCCATCCACTGTAGTGATTTTATTATTATTATTATTATTATTATTATTATTGGCAATAGAAACAAATTTTAAGAATTATTGTAAAAAAATATTTCTCTTTAATTGACAATTTTTATGTAAAATAAAGCAAAAAAAACCAAAAGATAGATAATTTTCTTGAATTTTTGTTTGGCAATGTAAACAAATTTTATCCTCAATACCAGTAAAATCTATCATTTTAATTGACAATTTTTATATAAAACAAAGCCAAATGAACAGCAAAAAACACTTTTATTTCAACATTTTTCATGTGGAAAATTATACCAATCAAATATAATAATTTACAATTTCCAGGAAAACAAGTTCTAAACAATTCAATTTTATAGAATTCGTTTTCAATTCAATTCAATTTCATTTTTACAATCAAATGGACCCTTAGTGAAATAATTCTACATTGATTATACAAAAATTATTGAAAAATCTGAAAAACATCACAATACCTTAAAAATTAGGTTAATTATCCCATTTTTTTGCCAAACCAAGAAAGACACGCACACAGCTGAATTATAATGAAAAAAAATAATAACCTGTTATCCGTGTGTAGCAGAAAAAATAATTAAAAAATTCAAAGCCCAGAAAAACAGGTGGCCGGATGATCTCAGCCACCCATGCCATCAAAATTAGACGGCCAGGATGAACGTTCCTGGTGAGGTGGGCCGTTAGCTAGGCTGTTGACGTCGGGAGCAGTCGCTGCCGCTTAGGCAAGGTGTCCCGCGTGCGGATCAATTGGAAAATTAATTAATCACTTATTTTGACTAATTATTTAATCTATTTTTTTTGCCGTATTAATTAAATCCCGCTTGAATAAGTCGTCAGCATCGAGGTAGGTCTGTCATTATATAGTTCGAATTAAAATAATGATTAAATTATTTTTGTTAAAGGTTGAACCCTAACTTTGAGGGTCCACCACCATCCCTGTCCTGAAGTATTGTGAAGGAGGTAAATCGTAAGTTATGCCTCCAAGGGTATAGGGTGGAAGGCTGCTTGTACACTTGCACTTATCCAAGAGCCAAATTCATATTTCAGGATTCGAACCCTTGACGCGGCAGCCTCAAGCAAAGTTGGATTTCTCTACCCTCCTCTTTTACCACTTGGAGATGTGCCCTAGGGGCGATTAAATTATTTTTGTTGATCACATGGAAGGATGCTTCTGATTCTTTGTAGTTGTGGGCCGGAATGACAAATCAATGCTATTACTCAGAGAATCTCAGTGTTAATTTGTTTTTTTGTACATCAAACGTGGGGTGGGGTTAGGGCAATGTGGTGTTTGAATCCAATCATCAATTTTCCACACTAAAACTGGGGATGAACATCAAATTATACGAAATTAGTGCGTTGAACTCTTCTTGATAGAAAAGGTGATTCGAATATTTATTGATGTGGTACGTGTATTTGAGCTAATTAGTTGGACCATACGAAGGCATGCAAGATATGGTGCATGATTCTATTATTTTTTTCTCGATATTGAATTACTTTGGAAACACTTTTCGATTTTCGATATTTCTTTTGTGAATCAATAATTGTTTTGTTCCGAACTCTTAAATATTTGTAGAATATTAATGTATTTTCTTGTGACTTAACTTTTTATTATAGATAATCAATTATTGTTGGTCGAAGCATTTTTCTAGTAATCGGGCAAGTCGACACTCCTCATAGTTATGTTTGTATAAGAGAGGGGTCAATTTTGAAGTCTTGAAGTAAGATGAAAGGAGTTTATTAAATGGTGTTTTGAAGAATTTCCGTGCCAAACATGGAATTATTATTTGGTGAGTACAAGATTGTCGTAATGTCCCATCATGTACAAAAGTGGCCGGTGATTCCCTCTAGGATTATTGGTCCATTAAAATTTTAATATTTTGACTCCCTATATCACACATCATCACAAATTGAATTATTTTTGAGAAACAAAATTATTCCTGAAGCTACAGAAGGAGTAATTTTATTATTACACCCTTTATTGGCAATTCTAAAAATAAACTAAATTAATCACTCAAAGTCACTGTCTTAGTTTGCTCACGAATACTAGCTAAACTTGTAACAATTTTTGAAATTTGAATTATTAAACTAAAAAGCGTGATAGTAGATAATGACGATGATATGGAGTTTTCAGATCTCGTCTAAAATTTAATGTACTTTATTAGGCTGAAGAAAGGGGGAGAAAATGCAACTTGACGGGCAACGAGTCATGGTAGATGAAGTGTATATGATGTTTTAAAATTTTATATTAGAAGAAATTAAGACCAATTTTACAATATCTAACTAAATCCTTGACCATAGCAAACTAAGCATATTTTAGTTTTAAACAAAGATCAAAATAAGAAAAATATAGAGCAAAAAAAAATAAAAAATTACAATATGATCAAGCCAAAATATTTAAATTTGAGATTGACAGAAGTCTATAAGAGACAGTCAAAAATAAATTTCGTAAGAGGTGGCAAAATCTTATTTGATCGAACTTTAATTTTTCACTAATTAATTGCTGAGTTTTAGTTGTCTTTATTTATATCATTGAACTTAACTTAAACGAGCCCCAATAGAAATAGATACATGTTTGTGTATATATTTCATTATAAGTTGATAATTATTGTTTGTTGTGTTTCCTAACATGCTATAGTTTTGTTTCAAAAAATGATGGATAATTTATTTATATTTACAGATAAAGTGTTCAAATTTATTACTCCAAACGTGTCATCATCACTATATATATGACTTTTAATACATTAAACTCATCTTTATAAATAAGAAAACGTTAATATATTTTTAACACATCGGTATATTACACATTGTCGTCTTTCTATTTATGAAGAGTTGATGCGTCAAAACAAAATATGTCAAAATACAAGTAAGGGCCTCTTTGATTCGGTGGGTTTTCCATGTATTTTTTCCACTTTCCACCTTTTTAGCCATTTGATTGCTTAGGTTTTCCCGGCAATTAGTTTTCCTCTCCCACCCTCACGTGACACATCTTCCTTAAAACCACGGAAAACCAATTCCCATGGTTTTGGTGGGAATTGGGTTTTCCAGTCACCTTTATTATTATTATTATTATTATTATTTTATTTTCTGTAATGAGAACAAATTCTATTTATAATTGTAAAAATTTTATCCCTTTAATTGACAATTTTCATGAAAATAAAGCCAAACAACACCAAAAAATCCAAAATCTCAACATTTTTCAGGTAAAAAATTTATACCAATTAAACACATTTAGTCCTTGTTTGTTTCCCATTATTTGGTCATTAAAATGAAAACTATGACTGTTATATATTACATCAAATTATCATATTTTAATTTCTATCTTTTGTGCAGGCCTTTCATTATTATTCTTCCATTAATGGAAAATAAATGAGGCCTTAATTAACAATTCTCTATAAAATAAGTTTTAGACAATTCAACTCTTTGAAATTTATTTTCATTCTAGCCATATTTTATTTTTACAATCAAACGAATCCTAATATTTAAGTAAAATTAGAGTGAGAACTACTAGGAAGAGAAATTGAACATAAATAATAATGCAGATAAATAAAAACTATGTAGGTAGAGGCAGAGGTCCCGTTTTGTAAGTGGTGTCCGAAAATTGCGGCTACTTGCCGCCTCTTTACTTTTCCATCACTTATTTTTGAAAATTGACTTTTCACAACTTACTATTGCACAGATAAACAAGACGGCCATAGCCAGAGAGAAGTGAGGGAGAGAACAATTATAAGTTAAAATATAGCTTATAATAACCAAAAACAGTTGCACTGATTTGACCCTTTTGATGTTGTATTTATATTATAAAAAAATCGACCAGCTCAAAACCCTATTAGATTAACAATTTGTTGCGTATGGAGAAGATCAGTTTTATATCAAAAGTCAGCGATTTCCCCGCTCTCCCTGTCTTCCTCAAAGTTTGCCTGTTTCAATTCTTAGAATAAATTTTTAATCTTGAAATAACTTCTTCTTGTTCAGAACCAAATCAAGAACCTTAAAATACGTAAAAACTGCATGTTCTTTACTTCTGTTTGGTGTAATATAATCCGAACTGAAGAGCCTACCAAGACTGCGTTGTGCTAAGTATCATGAGCAGTCATTTCTTAGAGAGAATGGATAATTATCAAGGTGATTTAGATGATATAATTCGAGCTGGCGGCGGCGGAGGTGGTAGCATAGGGAGCAACATCTCTACTGCAGTTCCGGCGCTTCCGGCAGACTGGCAGTTTCCGAGCAATCCCGTTAATTATTCTTCAGGAATCGAAGAGCTATCCGATTATTTTGGGCATCCATTTTCTAACATGAGAGATCCATTTCTACATGATATAGATACAACTGTGTCAGGGTTCTTCAACAACTCAAATAATTCTATAGCTACTGGAAATCAAGCGTCTGGTGGTCGTGATGATGGGGGTGATATCGTTCTTGGTAACAAAATTCTAGACGAAGAGAGGAAAACTAGACCCCCCAATATGTTCTCAAGGATGCTCCAGATCTCTCCGAATGAAAAGTTGCTGGTATTCCCTCGCAGTTCTCCGTCGGTGGCTGCCGCTTCTCATGGAGGATTGAAGGCCCCCGCAGCAGCTGGTTCAGTATCTAATGATCACATGATTTCTCCAAATAGCTCCAAAAGTTGCTTAGTAGAAAGCCCTGGTGTTCAGATCTCGCCTCCGCGAAACACGGGTATCAAACGAAGGTTAGATTTTTTTTCTTAAACCACGATATTATCTCTAAATCGAACTCTCAAATTCTTATATTTTATGCAACAGCACCTATAGAAAATAGTATACCTTCACAAATTAATTATAATTATAACTGATATTTAAGGAGATTAACAGTATAGATTTTACATGCCAAAGTTGAGGATTCCAAAATAGGGTTTTGTAAAAATAATTATGATCGATCACTTCAATTTTCTATCAACATGTGAGTTTTAATCCAACCTGAAAAAGTAAAATAGAAAATTTCAGTTCGCTTTCATGTTATTATTTGCAAACACTGTACGTCCAAACCCCACATGACTGGACTTTTATAGTTTGATATTTGAAGTTGTCCATTACTTTCAGCTTTCCAAAGAAAAAAAGAAAGAATCTCTAGGTCTCCAAGGTTAGAAAATAAGGACTATTGAAAATCTGATTTTGATGAAATCTGCAGGAAGAGTCAGGCAAAAAAAGTAGTTTGTATACCGGCTCCGGCGCCTGCGAACAGCCGCCCTGGTGGCGGTGGAGAAGTTGTTCCATCTGATCTATGGGCATGGAGAAAGTATGGACAGAAACCTATTAAAGGTTCTCCTTATCCAAGGTAACCTAATTATTCCTTTCACAATCCCATGTCGAAGCATTGTTTAGTTAACTTTTTCTAGAAAATTCACTGTCTTGTTTGATCAACTTTCAGACGCTCTAAGTCGGTGAAAATTCTTTAAAATTCATTTTTAACAACAAAATTTTTTAATAAAATAATTTTTCATGTGAACCCATAATTTTTCCCTATTTTAAAAATTTACATCAAACACGTCTTAAATATGTAAAAATAAATATCTAATCCTGAATATCTGTGTTCTTTTTTTTTTTTTTAGTCGTCATACTTTGTCTTTGGCACGCAAATGTGCTTCTTAATTGATATGGTTTTCATTTTCTACGGATTAGGTATGTATGAAAAAATGTCTACACCAAGCAAAATCCTGTTGGGAAATTTAACTAACACTCTATCAATTAACAAAGATGTAGAGTAGAACTATTCAACACGTCCCTATTCCGAACCCTCTTAGCTTGAAATTTTCATAACTAAGTGACAATGTGAAACAAGATCCTTGTAGTTGTTAGCAAAGGAAAATGTTTATTTATTTAAATTTATATTTTGGGATCATTGTTAATTCTCTGTGTTGTCTCATTCTTATTGGGAAACGATTAGGAGGTTCGAGTATTAATTTTTGTCCCTTCTGATATTCACCATGCCAGGGGTTACTATAGATGCAGTAGTTCAAAGGGTTGTTCAGCAAGAAAGCAAGTCGAACGGAGCCGGACCGACCCGACTATGCTGGTAATCACCTACACTTCTGAGCACAACCATCCATGGCCGACACAGAGAAATGCTTTAGCTGGCTCCGCAAGATCCCAGCCATCCAAGAACAATAACCCAGCTTCAAAGACTTCACCCAATTCTCAGTCCCAGAGGGGTAAAAACCCGAGAGACAAAGATATCCAAAATAATACAGAAAATGTAATTCCATCGCCCATGGATGTGAAAAATGAAGATCTTGATAACCAGTTAGAAATGGATGGTGCAGAATTAAATGAAGGGTTTTCTTCCCAGAGTTATAAACCGGCTTTGTCGGGATCAAACCAGTCTGAAGATCTGTTTGCAGATTTGGGAGAAATAGAAGCTGGTCCTTTGGACCTTTTATTCATGGATGGATTTTCAGGAGATGAAGGGGGAGACAACAAGGCATTGGATCCATTCAGTTTCTATGATTGGTCAAGAAACAACAATAATAACCAAGCATTATACGAAGAACCGAAGAGAGATTCTTGACGACAACATCCTTGCACGACAGTTTGATTAGCTGGAGTTTCATTCAATCTTTTCTAGTCAAGTTTTTACCAGAAAAAAAGATTTAGGAGATGAGGTAACTCAAGAGAGTGATATATTAGTGGATTGGGAGCAGACCCCACGAGTAATTCCTTTCCATATTAGTGGATTGGACAGAAAGCTGAGAAGCAGAAGGTTTCGACAGTTAAAAGAAGTACATCTTTCAGACATGACTGGAAAGCTCAAGGAGGGATTGATGTTGAAAAAGACTTCCATTTTTCAAGTGGGAAAAATATTCAAGCATGACACTTTAATCATGAGAGTTTACCAGAAAGAAACCATGATTTATATGTTGTATTAATACCTTAGAAGTCAGGGAAAAGATTGTTAAAATACTGGTAAATTAAGTTTGACGTTTCTTACATGACAAGGCAATATATATGTACAAGCTTTGGGTTCCTCGGCTTTCTGTTTTTCATTGCACGTTGTGTTCTCTTGGAAACTTAGTATACAAATATTTAACCATTGTAATGTGAAACTATTTGAAAAGATTTTTACTTGACTGGTAAAATGTTAACTTCATATATGTACAGTGTACTTCTATACTGTTATTATTATTATTATTCAATTTACACTACCAAATTTCGTGTCCTTAATGCATTCATGACCATAATTGATCTCAGATAAATATTTCAATATTGTAGTTGTTTGATTTATTTATTTTTTTGGAAAAATAAAAAATAAAAATATTGCCGTATATCTTAGTGGGGTAGTGAGAGAGATTCAATGAAGGGTAAGAAAACTACAAAAAATCTTGATTAAAATTTAATTAGTATGCGAGTTATTATTTTCATAATTATTATATTTATCTTTACTAATCAACTGTGATCATATTCGAATTACAAATATAAGTAAAATCTAACTTATATTTTGAAAAACAGTTTCTTTGATCACAATTTATACACGATAAAAAAATCCATCATAATCAATATAATTTTTTTTTAAATGATGAAAGTAATATTAAATTAAATGATTGTATCCATATGGAGATTTAGTAAAAAATCAAAATTTTAATAGATTTTGATAAAAACTTATGAAATATATAATTGAAAAGTTGATAAAAATCCTGAATTTCAGACAATATATGGTTAAAATTAATTATTAATTTATCAATTTTTTTTAATTTACACCAAACAGACTTAAACACATGACGACTTTTTCCTGACATAACTAATTGGTAAATAGTCTATATTAGTGATTTGTCAAATCCATCAAAACTTTTGATAAATATTAATGTTTTATTCCCCTAGCAACTGAAAGTCCCATAATTCTTTCAAGCCTGATACAATAACAGGATTATTGATCGACTTTTTTACAGATATGTACGCTTGGACTTTGGAGATATTTCATTGATAATGAAGAAAAAAAAAAAAGTAAAACAAAAATCTGTCAATCAAAGATTCTATTTCATTCCTTGTAAATAGTCATTGAGACTGTTTGAGTAGTTTAATTCTAATTCCTTATAGTAAGAGGAAAAGGTCCGAAAGTATGTGTGGTTTGGAACTCATTTGATGGAATCACTTTGCGTATTTGAGTTGATTGGAGTGACTGTTTTTAGTCATTATTTGATTTGACGCACACACAGCTCCCCCATGACTAATTTAGTCTTGTAATAAACAATCCTTAAAAGCGTGCTTATGAATCAGTATTTTATCTGGCATTTGTCAAATAATCATCATAGGGGGCATTACTTTGTTAATTGCAATAACAACCTTCCTCCATTTATTATTATTTTTTTTTATCAAATGCAGAGCTCGGTTGACGGTTGAGGGAATAATTTCTCTCAAATGCAGAGCTCGGTTGAGGGAATAATTTCCATCGCTCGAATGAATAATGCTCTGTGTAGAGGAGGGATTTCAGAACACACACACCAAGATTTTTTTCTTGAAATTTTTTATAAGGTGATTCCCACATGGGACTCACTTGCTGTGTGTGTTCTGGAGTTGTTCTATAAAATTCCTCCTATACACACAACATTATTTTCTCTCGTATATATATTGTTAAGTTCCTTGTTTGTCATTCATTTTTAAATTTTTTTTTTCAAATTCATTTTTAATCACGAATTCACACAATAAATATTTTGTACATAAACCCAATTTTTTTTTTCTATTTTTTAACTACACGTTCACCAAAAAATTACTATTCAAAAACTCATTTTTTCCTTAAAAAAACTCTTTTAGGCTACCAAACATAGGCTCATATAGTCTTTTATCAATTGGAATTTGGAAGTGACATTTCTATAGAGTGTTGCCTTGATTTCGAAGACTTTATACCATTCTCGTGGACAATGAATTTTAAAATTGTGTATGGCAAACACTAATAAACAAAGTTCTCAATTCAAAATCAAATTCATCGATTCTTGATAAAAAAAAAAATGTATCAAATGAGCCCAAAATTGCAAAATTGTTGCCCTTCTATTATAAATTTACATTTGTATAATCATTAGCAAGGAATTCAGAGTTCAATAGTTTTATTAAAAAATTCTCTCTAGACCAAATTATAGAATTTTTCTGAAATAGAAGGAAAGAAATAATTTTAAATTTAGAGAGATTTCAAGATAAGACAAACTCACTAGTCCTCTAGCAGGGACAGAAGTCTATCAATAAGTTTCTTTTAGAGAGTCTTTAACCTAGTTTAAATATAATTCCTTTTTAATATTGTTTCGTTGTTCTGTTTTCAATCTTGTTCTTGTTAATTTGAAAGTACACTATCTTAAAAAATTGAAATTATTCTGAATTATTTCTTTATTATATTTATGAGAGAGAGAGAGATTTCGATACGGTATTTAAGGGTGTAATTAGTAGGCAAAAATGAAATCATATGTTAGCTTGTTGTTAACCTAATTCAATCATATCCTAATTAATGCCAGGTCTTGATATAAAGAATTAGCAAATCATTGATCGCATGCTCTATCATTTTCCACTTCAATAATTTTCTTGATAATTAGTTCCTTTCTATTATTATTATTTTTTAATCCTGGCTTGTAAATCAAGGTGAAGATCTGAGGTCGTCATCTCGCCATGTCATTGGGTATCTTCCGATTAAAGTTTGACTTATCACTGTCATTTCAACACGAATTTTAGTTTTCATTTTCTACACGTTGAATTATCCACCAGTAGAATTTTGACAAGTGAATTTACTTTTGGTGTGTCAAAATTTAATTAGAGACAAATACGAGATAGGAAGTTGGAGACAACCGATCTAAACTCTTTAAATCACCTTTAGATACTTCAGTGCATGTGAGAGCTTAACCATGGAATGTGATTAGTTAAATATGAAACTCTCTATTTTGTTTTCTTGTAATTTGCTATCTTGAGGTGTGACTTGAGGATACTTTGTAGTCTCACCTGGTATGGATTTTTCTTGGATTTGCTTGTGGGTGTTTGTGAGAGATTCTATACGATTGTACAAAATAATAATAATATAGTGAAATATTTATATCTTTGATGACCTTTGATTCTTCTCCAATTGATAGTTTTCCACGTAAAAATATTTTAATTTTTTTTTTTTTTTTGCTCTAAAGAGCACCAGGTTGTTCGAATGGTGAACAAAAAATACATATTAGGTGATGCAAAAAAGTTCGATGAGAAAATGAATTTTAGTTTGTGGCAAATACAAGTCAATGATGTTTTGATTCAGTCTGAACTGCACAAGTATTTAGAAGAAATATTTACATTGTTTTCGACATATCCACTTCAAGAAAAACTATTCAAAAGATGAAGCATGTTCGTATAATTGCTCAAGTCAATAAATAGAGATACTGATATTATCGCAACAATGTGTCTCGAGATACAAGGATACTCTTTGAGAAGAATATGTTCATCCTTATGAGGTGAGTTTGGCAAACAAGTTGTTATAATCGGGGATGTGTTAGCGGATCCAAAATCTTGTACGTGGAAATTGGTTTGTTGTTGTTGCAAATATGTGGTGGAATTTATATGAAGTATTGATGAACCCATAGAAAACCAAACATGTGGGTTGCAATATAATTTTTAACAGGTTTATTCGACGTGATAATGTGAAATTCTTAGAATTTGTTGATTATAAGCATTTATAGTCCTTGTGGTAAAAGAAAATGTTCACTAAAAATTTTCGAGCGACGTGATATAAAAAACCAAAGAGACGAGACATAGACAAAGGCACAATTATTTAACTTTGAGGAAACATGAAATGATTCCTATTTGAGGTTTTAGAAGATCCACTGTCAATGTGGAGTTGGTTAAGATTTTTGACTTGGCAAATAGAATTGAATTTTATTCTTTATTTCCTAGCTTTAGGGAGTAAATTCAATTGACACTTTTAATGATTTTTTAGAATTTAAAAAGTTTAGGGTATTCAATGTAAATTTTTTGAGACTCTCTAAAAGTATTGATGTATTCAATTGAGATTTTTTTAGACTTTTAAGAAACCTCTAATAGTTACGGTATATTCAATTGAGATTTTTATAAATTTTTAAAAAATCTCTAAAAATTACGGTGTATTAAATTAAAACGTTTTAGAAGTTTCTATAAGTCTTAGAGTGTTTAAATTTTAATGACTTTTAGAAACTTTTATAAAAGTCTATGAAGCATTAACTTTTAAGCAGGAAATGTTCATATAAAATTTAAAATTTGTCTCTCATTAATCACGAGATTTTGGGAGACTTTTACGGAAATAAAATGTTTTTTTTTTTCAATATTTCTTTCCTTTTTCCTTCTATGAACATTAGAGGTATGATTAATTTTTTTTTTCTTTTGATTATATTTATTTCCATTTATCTTTGTTTCTTTCTTATTGTTTATATCTTTTTTCTATGAAAAAAATAAATAAACTGGATTCGTGTATCTTTTTTTCATTCATTTTTTGTGAAAAAAATATCTATTTTTAATTAACTTATAAAATTATATATGAAAAATCTATAATTAAATTTAAATATATTTATTTTTATTTATTTTTAAAAGTATATGATATTAATAATACTGAATACTAAATTTATTGTTTATCGTATATATGTATAATTTTGATTATTATTTATTTAACTAAGGTCTTAAATTTTTATTCTTTTGATTTTTTTTTTTATTATATGGGAAGGAAAATGGAAATTGTGGAAAGCAACACCTCATATATGAGAATTTTAAACTATTGTACTAAATCCATGTGAATTCTATTTCAAATAAAAGTCTTCAAAGATCCTTTGAATTCTACAAAAAATTTCAAAACGAAAGTCCATTAAATCTATGAAAAACTTCCACTAATTACATACAAACCTATAAAAGGTCCACAAAATCTACAGAAGTCACCACTTAAAAAAGTTTCAATTGAATACACTCCTTTAATATGATTTGTATTGTTTTAACACGTCTAACCTTGCCTAAACTCGATAGAACTAAAATCCGCAGGGAACAATCAACCGTCAAGAGATAAAACTTCATTTTCAAATAGACGAAAAAAAAATTCTTGTAGTTTTCTTCCACTTCACCAAATACTCCATATGTGACTTATTGTCCGGCGTGCTGCTCACTTGACGATCTACTAGGATTTCCTGAGCTTCGCGCTCCAGCATAACGGTGACATGATCTGGAATCTACGACCATTCGAAATTTTATCATTTGTCGGTTTTCTCCCTATAAGGCCGCGAAAGCATTCGAGAAGATTCCTTTTTCCTCTTAGAATCTGTATTATATGATGATTGATTGTTTCCTATAGTCGGAGTAAGATTAGTAAACCATGTTCTATGAATAGGAGTCTTCTAATTGTATTTTCTTAACCTCAGTTCTAGATAGTATTGATATCTTGGGTAAGGCTTAGGAATTATCCTTCGTAATCTCACATGATATGAATTTTTCTTGGGTTTGATTGATGATTACACAAATTTTCTTTTGTGTGAGATATCTATTTCTACTCTATATAATATACATAAACAAAATAATTTTTATTCAATCGTACAAAAAGATTGTTATGTGTAAATATAATGATAAAATTGTTAGGCAGATCCATAGATTCGATAATCATGATAAGAGTGACAAATTCTTTCTCCTTTATATGACATTAATTTTATATGCAGGCAAGTATCAAATCAAGATAAGGCAGGTAACATTATCCCATCAACTTTTTTCTCCATTATAATTACGTAAAATAAACTTTATTCTTAATAAATTTGATAAAGATGACATAAATTTGATAATTTATACTCATTTGTATTCTATCAGCTGCTATATATTCTACAAAATCCTATGCATTAGATCATATTATTTTAAATCACCAAATATATGTTTATTTCAGTCTACACTGAAATCGGCAGATCCAGTTTGCTTGAATATTTTTTCGCTTCTAAATTTGATCGCATTTTCTCTTTATTTCAATGTACGGTATCAATTTATTTTTCTTTAAATCTGGACCATATATTCTAAAAAGTAGATCCTCTTTAGACAGAGTTTCCTTTAGTCATTTGTTCAGTTAAAATCGCACTAAACCTGGATGTGCATATGGTTAGGATCCTGTCATGTTTTGTTGGCTCGACAAACTTGACTTCTAATAGAGGAATTCTAAAAGTATTTTGTTGATATATTGAAACAGTTTTGATGAACCTTAACTACCCTCCTGTATTGTCACATAATAGTTCGATGGTGCTAGAAGCATGTCATGTGCCTCGAGATTGAATTTTCGAGGAGTAACAAAAATACGAGCATGTAAATAGCACATTCAGAACCAAGGTGAGGGACAGGTTGCCGACCGTACCACTATTTTTTATTTTTTTGGATTATATAGAAGGTTTTCATAATCTTTTGATATATACGTGCTATATACATATTTATCCCTTCAATATTATTTGCTCCCTTGTGTGAAAATCCTAGACTCCGACACTAATGAGAACTTGTGATTTATCATTGATGCTACCAAAAAATCGTACATGAAAGATCTCGAATTGAACGATTGAACTCCGAACTTGGACGAACTTGAATGAATATGAACGATCTTCGAATACCTGAAACAAAGGCAATGAGATGTGTGCTCTTTGCCCTTTCGATGCTTAAGTCATATAGAGAATTTAGTGCATAAAGCTATGAACTGAAATAATGAAAAGCGTACCTGAAAAATGAGCCCGGGTTATGTATTTATATGTGTTGGTGATAGAGTCCTAGAAGGACTTAACCATGTATGATCCTTATCCTCATAGGGTAAGGTATTTGTGTTGCAATTAAAGTGTTGTATTTTAGTTTGAATTAAAATGTTATAAGCCAATAATAATGTGGTTAAAAGGCACTAGGGAACTATAGTTTAAATAGAGTTAGTACTTCCCTATGTCGTTAGGAAGAATAGAATCAAGGGACCTTAATCCGACCCAAAAAAGGGGAAAGCCCCACCTATATAGACCTCGACCTCAAATTTGACGGCATTGAGGAGGGTTGAGGTTGGGCCATTTAGGTTGAGCTCAAGGGTTAGCAGGTTTTTGGGACATCAATCATAAATTATGCGTGCATCTCCTTTAAAAAGGAATGGCATAGATTGGCCTGGGTTTTCGATCTGTACCCATTCTCAAATCTCTCTTATCCTAGTTTATGAAAGTGGCTTGCCCTCCTCCATCTTCCAGCTTTGGGGGAGTACCTTTTAATCTCAACAACCTCTTTTGGAGCTTGGTCTGCATGTGGCCATTTTTTCAAAAATTTGTGTTAAGACATTTTCGGGCTCCAAGACACCAAGCTCACAAGGGTCGGGGACAGAGCGAGGGAGGTCCTCTTTCAAATGTAGAAAATTTAAGTTATAGTTAGAACCTCAACTTCTTTACTAGCTTCGATTTCTAGTCTTTTACGAAGAGCAGGTCATATCGGGAAATGGATCTGGGTCAAATTGTGGGTCCAGATTTTTTTGTATCTTGGGCTTGGATGATAAGTCCATCAAGTGGTCCAAATCGATTTTTAATGGGCCCACGTTCAGTAACAAATTTGCTCAAGACTTGTTCAACTGTAGTCCACTACTAATAGCTCACTAAAGACCAGGTCACAAGTAATGCAACATTAATTTAATTAAGAAATTATCTCCGGCATAATTTTCTTTTTAGTATTTGAATTTTTCTGCAACTCAATTAATTATAGATAACAATCATATGTTTCGATTATTGGATTTATAATGTAAAATTTAACTTCCTAACAACAGGAAAAAATAATACAACAAAATGAAAAATAAAAATAAAAAATGATTATATTAATTAAGGACCCAACAACAGGAAAGAAAATAGCATATATTTTTTGATCCAATATTCAAATCTACTGCTTGAGTTTCTTAAAGACATGCAGTTTTGGTTGGATTTCATGATCATTTGCTAGGGCTTTCCGAGGAACGAGGCAGGTCTCTGTCGAGTATAACTTTTCTTGAATTAACAGCGATTTTAGAAGATCATGCAATTCTTCTCCAAAAAATGATTCCACAGTTTCCTGCAATTAAAATTTGGAGTTATCTTAAATAACTCTTCCCATATGAAAATCATATATAGCACCAAATTATTAAGATAATCAATTATATTTATGCAAATTCCTGTCCACAAATAATTAAGTCAAAGAAACCAAATTACCCGGTATGAACCCATAAATTCTAGAATTTTGACCTAGGCTTGCAAGTATTTGATGTATTTGTACGCAGCTTGGAATATTTCAGCAGTGTTCACATTTCGGCCGCCGAGAATATGTTTTCCAAGCTCCTGAGTTTTTTCAGTAATTTTCCTCCTCATCTGCCTAGCAGCAATGCTCTGTGCCGACAAGCTTCCGTCAATTGGCCTCTTCCCTATACTTTTAGAACTTTCACCACTATCAACTGGTGGAGCAGTTAAAAAATCATGTATTAATGAAGTCACCATAACTTCTGGCGAAGAAAAATCTTGAAGCATACTAGGGTTTGGGATATAACCACAGGATAAACCCGTGTGCTCATACTCCGAATAGTAGTCTTGGAAATAGTAAGGCTTTTGGCATTTGGAGCAGTGGTAGGATTCAAACTCTTGTAGAAGAAAGGGTTCATGTTTGAGAGTGTCGAGAGGATCAGGTGGCTCAAAAAGATCGGTTCTAGTGTCTGTAAGAACAAAATCGTTGTTGAAATCGAGGAGTTCTGGAGTCAGCTCTATCTGTGTTTGTGAGAATGAGCAGTTGTTAAAATCTTGTTGAATATATATGTATTCTTCAGTACAGACATGCAATATATAATTGCTTCTACTTGAGAAGAAGAATGAAACAACGAAAACAGAAAGTTGGGCCATATTCATTTGAATAATGCCAGTCATTCACTATCGCAGTCACCTTACGTGGCACGCATGTTACAGTTAGTGATTAGATATACATGAAAAGAAAAAACTACCACATTAATACATTAAATTACAAACCGCCATGTAGGATGCCTGAAGAACGACTTACTCTATACATTTTCTTGCATGAGAAAAGTGTTCGACATTATAAAGGGAAAAGTAGATCAACCATGCTACTTGTATACTAGGGTTGACACCCCAGTGTACCGACCCCCTCACAATAGGGGGGTCCACGATTTTTTTATTCATCGTGGGCCCTCCCTTTTTGTGAGGGATCGGTAAACCAGGGTGACAAATATCAAAATCCAAAGTAGATAGAGGCATAAACCAAGAGTCAAATGTAGGAAAGTACACAGTAGACAATCTCGTACTGAAGCAAAAGACATAAGACGGAAGGTAAAATACCTGAAGAAAGATTCTGTCTTTAATCTGCTGTCTTTTACTTGTTGAGTTGCAGTAGACTTAAAACCAATTAAATTTAGGCACCAACAAACCTTATCAAACTAACAATTCTATGGAGAGAGAGAACGTGGCGTGGCTGGAGGTTAATTAGTACTCCTAATTATCCTGGTATATAGGAGTTACTTATTCATTATCGGGAAAATTGTTTATTTTTTAATTATTATTTTTCACAAACTTTTATTGATTGTTATTTTAAAATGTTTTTGCATTATTTTTATATAATCTTTTCCTATTAACCTTAATTAGTACTCCTAATTATCCTGGTATATAGGAGTTACTCTAGCTTTTAATATTTATAACTTCACTTCTGTAATTTTAAAAGTAACATTGGTTGCATCTTATTTAATATTGTATTTATTTTAAAACTAACTTGATGAAACATATTTTTCACATGATTTTTTCTTTCCAATCTTTTTTTTTTTTTTTTTTCAATTGAAAATAAAGTTGCACCAATATTCTACTTTCAAATTATTTTAGCTAAAAACTTTTAATAATCATAGCATATATTATTGATAAAACCTATAGTTTTACCTAAAATCACCTTAAATTTATTGTTGGGTATTAGCAATAATTCCTACAATATATTAAGGGAAAAGTACATGTAATTAAGCTTTTGTAGTGAAAATAATTGTAAGTATATAAATAATAATCATTTATTTATTTTGAAAGCTGGAATGTAATACTCAAGGCTTTATGTTAATTCAAATTCAAATATAAAAAACGAATTATTAAGTACTGTTTCTATTTGTAAAGAAAAATAGAATAACAAACTAATTATTAATTATTTAAATATTATATATGTAATAATTTTACAAATTTTTATTTTTTATTTTTTATTTTTTTTAGCATGCTTGGCTTATAAATACCGATTTTATTCAATGTTACAACTAGTTGGCTTATAGTATTTTCATATATTTGATATATTGAATTTGACATGAAACAATCAATTTATAGAAGAAAACTGAAATGGCTAAAACTATGCTTTATTTTTTAACCACTTTGACTTGATCAAACCAAGTCTAAAAACCGCTATTTACAGTTATATACCCAAAAAGCAATAGTATCTTAGCGTAATTTCCCATTTACAGTTAACCTGTGTTTACCAAACATCATTAAAATTGAAGGTTAAAAACATCATCATGTCTAAACAAAATAATACTTCTTCTTCTGCAAAGGAGGAATTTACAAGAAAAGGAATTGAAAAAATAAAAATAAAAAATGACACCTGACTGAACCAAAAAATACAACAAAATGAAAAATAAAAAGAAAGATTCATGTGATGCTCAAAAAGTAAGCAAACAACAATGGCAGAAAACAAAAAAGCACTTCTTAGTAGCCACCAATTCATATCAGCTGCTTAAGTTCTTTCAGAACCTGAAGTTTTGGCTGAATTTCATGATCATTTGCTAGGGCTTGTACAAACTTTTGCGGAACCAAGCATTTATCTGTCGAGTATAACTTTTCCTGGATTAATGGCGATTCAAGAAGATCATGCAATTCTTCACAAGAAAATGTTTCCTGCAAATAAAATTTGGAATTCCGTAAGCCATTTTCTTCCCGGTGAAAATCATGTATACCTTCAAATTACTAAGATTACCATATTTCAGCAAATTTCCATCATTAAAAACTCAACTGAACACTAATAGCATGCTTAATACAGTATATTTGAGACAAAACTCATGAGGAAAAGGAAGCTAAAATATGTCTTTTATACTTCTAATTCGAGTACTTTATTTGGAAGATGAGAAGAAATGGGACACTAGATAGAAACCAAATTACCTGCTTTGATCCCATAAATTCGAGAATACCGACTTGGGCCTGCAAGTAGTTGATGTATTTGTACGCAGCTTGGAACATTTCAGCAGTGTTCATTTTCTGGCCACCAGGAATAAGTTTCCCAAGCTCCTGAGTTTTCTCGGTGATTTTCCTCCTCCTCTGCCTAGCAGCAATGCTCTGTGCCGACAAGCTTCCACCATTAGGCTTCTTCACTACACTTTCAGAACTTCCACTACTGTAAACTGGTGGAGCAGTTGAAAAATCAGGAAACGGCGGCACCATAACTTCTGGCGAAGAGAAGTCTTGGAGCATGCTTGGGTTTGGGATATACCAGCAGAATAAACCGTTCTGATACTCTGAATAATAGTCTTGGTAGTTGTAAGACTTTTGACGTTTGGAGTAGTTGTAGGATTCATATTCTTGGAGAAGAAAAGGTTCTGGGCTTAGAGTATTGGGATGATCAGGAATTAGGGCATTATAATTGTCGGGGTAAAATGTGTCATCGGGCTGGAAGAGAGGATCAAACCAGGTGTCAGTAAGCGCGAAATCGTTGTTAAAATCGAGCAGCTCAGGAGCCAGGTCAGTCTGTGTTTGGGCAAAGGAGCAGCTGATATCTGAGTTGAGATGCTGAAGTGCATCCCAATTTGAGTAGTAGCTCAGTGCCATGGAGAGGGAACCTATAAGAACAACATACATTATTAAAAATGAAAAATAAGCTAAAATCATGTTTGTTATATTGTTCAATTTTGTCGAGTGCTATGTAACAAACATGCATTGAACGTTTAGTTCTACTTGAGAAGAAGAACGAAACAAAGAATTCAGCAAATTCGGCAATATAAAAAAAAACTCATTTTCTTGCATATCATAACAGTACTGTGTTGTAAAAATGGGAAGTAGATAGTAGAAGACAAGCAAAAAGACATAAGACGGACAGAGAGATACCTGAAGAAAGATTCTGTCCTTAACAATCTGTTGTCTTTTACTAGTATTGAATCACAGTAGACTTCCACCAACAAACCTTATCAAACTAACAATTCTATGCAGAGAGAGAGAGAGAGAGAGAGAGAGAGAGAGAG